TTCGGGCGCATCAAATGATATATAAGAAATCAAGTTTTCCTCAACTATTAATGTGCTTTCGGTTCATATATTAGTTAGAAATTTTGAGGAAGTACTCATAAATATAATAATCTCTAAGATAACCATATTCAAGTTTAGTTTTTCAACTTTATTCGAAATACTTATAGGTATTCTTCAATTTTCAATAAATAATAGTTTTCTTCATACTTGAAACTGGTTCATATTCTTAAGTGCAGATGATATCTTAAATATATGATATTCCACTATGTTCAACTTTATGTCGCAGAATAAGTGGGTACTACCAACATGAAACTTTCAGAAAAACTGCACACTATCGAACTCTATATGTTTCACAGATAATATCTTTCGAAACAGCAGAGATAGTCTGTCGACTTGCAAGATTTTTCCATATAGTACACTATTGTCCTGTATTCAGGGCTCCTATATTGAAGATATTTTAACACTACTCAATGATTGTAGTAAAAGCTCTTTACCTATCAATAATCAGCATAGCATGCGTGATGAACTGATATGATTAACTCTTTTATAAAGGAAGAAGTTAAATTTTTGTCTCTGAATCTTTAGAGAAGAGTGTACGATTAGAAAAAAAATTATTTTTGTAACAAATCTTCTTCGTACTAATCTACTCCTGTACTTTCTCTCAGAGGTCTGACAGCTAAATCTTTTTTTCTTGTTATAAGGGTCTGGTTTATATCAGTCCTCAAAGATTAGAACTAATGTTTGAACATACACGACATCAAAATTTGATGAAAACTTGATTTCTTATATATCATCCAATACGCCACATACTCTTCTAGAAAACCACATGTATGGTATTCTGGCTTAAGATAAGTCACTAAATCTAGAGAGAGTCTTTTGAATAAAAATCTTACTTTCCTGGTGCAATAATATCTTCAATCATAGTTGCTTCTTCATCAACAATATCATTTCCAACTGTATTATCTTCTCGATCTTTTCTCTACAAAAAACCAATCATTATTTTCTTTTTGTAATATACAAATCAATCAAAAACCTTTTTTAAAATAATATCAATATAACCAGCAATTAATTGTGATATTTGTTGACCTTCATTGGTTTGTACTGAATAATAAGCACTTGCATAATCACCAAAGTCCTATTAATAAGAGAAAAATAAGCACAAATATGCAATTATGTTCTTGTAAAATATTCTTTTTTGTACAAGTGTAAATGTATTCGGTGATGCTGTCCATCTTTTAACGTGTGTCAATGGCCATACTTGAATAAACTATATATACAACCAAGTATTTAAATCTTAGTAATACAACAACAACAACAAAAAAAACTAAGAATCTTACATCTTTTGTTCGTTCATCAACGCGAACAACTGAATCTCTAGTAACACCAAGAAGACGTGGTACAAGTTTATTTTTACCAGACATTTTTTCCTAATTAAATTTAAAATAAATCATTTGTTTAAGTGTCTTTTTTTTTTTTATTTTAATTACTTTTACAAGAAAAAATGTAACACCATAAGTTCGTAATGAACGACATAATTGTGTATATTTTACTTTTCCATCGAGCTCTGATAGACCAGTGTGTTTCTTATGTTCCTTTACAATTAAAAATATATGAATAATTAACATGAGTAAGATAATTCTTTTATAAAACTTACTAAAAATATTCTCTTTTCAACATTTTTTGTTTTTGCATATTCTTTTGGTAAAAAATCTCGTATACTAAAAATATTAAAATAAATCAATAGATAAAAATACTAATATAATATTTTATTTCGGAAGTTCTAATAGACAACAACGAACAGATGACAACATGTATTTAGTACGAGAGCGAAACCAAGCCATTCTTTTCCGGGAGATAAAAATAGATGAAAAAAACATATTAACAGATCTTCTCATGCTTCATCATGGTGAATTAAATAAAACTTCGATCAGCTTTATTTTAGTATTATGTATTAGAATTAGTCTTCTTTCTTTAGACACATTTTAGTGAAAAGATAATTAAGACACGATGTATTGTTTCATATAATTATCGGAGATTGTTCTTTCAAAGGAGTTAGCCGTTTAGCTAAGGATGCCTTTTTCAGATGGTCGCTTCTAGTTTCAATGATTTTTCATCTATAGATATTCTATGGTGTTCTAATGAAAACCTTAAAAAGGGTTCAAGTCTATATTGAGACTTGACGAAGTTGTTAACTTTTCGGTATGTCTGTTTACTAAAGGAAAGATTTTTTAGAGTTATAAAAGCCCAGAAATTATCTTGATCTACATCTTTTAAGGTTTAGCAGCTATAATTTTTGGAAATTAGTTATATTTTGATTTAAAGTAAGTAAATTCCAACTTTGAACAACAACTAATTAAGGAAGATCTCCTAATGTGGAGAGAGTTTTACTATATGTGAGACCCTTAACGTAGTGATAGTATCGAAATAAACTTCAAAAACACGATTTTTTCAAAATTAAGTCCTTTTAAAGTTTTCACTAGAATACTGTTTAGTTTCTATAGTGAAAAAAAATCATTAAAATTGAAAGAAACATCTGCAAAGATGCTCTGGTAACTCATCGTTGCTATAGTTCAAAATTGAATATTTTGCTCAAGGTTAGAATAATGATGTAATCAGAAGAGCATAGATGGAAGGGCACTGCCCTATGACTTTCGGGGACAACTATGAAATATAATGTCAATCATGGTAATTATCACGTTTTTCTTTCTTCTGTTGGTAGGGCGGTACCCGAGCTAGCTCACCCGTAGTTACCCCACCACGTTAGAGTTCAATTACTATGAATATTATCAGTTAATTTCATACTGGTAAAACCTTTACTTCCTTTTTCAATGCTGAAATTTCTAATCAATGATAATGTTTTAAATGTGCTGTTAGTTTTTCTTTTGATAAAATATCTCAAAATTGATCTATAATGAAGACTAGAATTTTGTTTTATTTGCTTCACAAAGCTATACACTTTTTACCTAACTTTCTTTTTTATCATAGAAAAGAAAGCAATCTATAATAATACAGATCTAATAATTTTTCTATGCCTTCTTACTCAATAATTCCTGGTTTATGTTTTGATTCTTCATAATCTCCGAATTGTATCTGACATTGTAAACCAGAAAATTGAATAGCTTCATCATAAGTTACTGGATGTGTTCCATCAATAATTGCATTTCGACACTAGTAAATGATAATAGAAAAAGAATGATTTCTTTTGTCTTTCTTTCATTTTTATTAATTCTTATTTCATACTTGAACATAGAGTAAATTAAGTTGTACAGGATCACGTTGATCAATATTAGTATCAGAAAAGAAATATTTTCGTCGTAAAACAACAGTAGATTGTTCATCTATATTTTGATGACGAAGAGTTTTTGATTGATCAAGCCATAAAGCTAAAGTATTTCAATTACAAAATAAAATAATGAAATTATTCAAAAAATTTACTATCATCATCTGTATGACATTTTTTTCTTAATTCTTCCATTTTTTTATCTGTTCGTTGTAGTGAGCGATCCTATAGTTATAAAAATAAACGATGTTAATCGAAATTGTTAATTCAATATATAAATTATAATTACTCGAAGAAGAGTTGCTGTTTTTGTATTATTAATACTATCATCAGCATCAAGATCATAAACTAGTGAATATTCATCATAATTTGCAATACCAAATTTTGTACATATATAAACCATTAATTGAGCAAGAATTAATGAATCATCAATAAGAATTGTTTTAACAGTACCATCAAGTAAACGAATTTTAAGTGGACGATATCTATTCTTATATTCTACATGATCCTATAAAAAAGAAAAGTAAAAACAATCAAAATAGTTCAAGATGTTTTCTTTGTAAACATACTTCATTTTTTAAAACATAATAATCCAAAGTTTTTGTTGGATCAAGCCAATAACTTCTCGATGAATGTTGAGCATCATTAATAAAAAGTCCATATTCTGATGCTAAATGCAACAATGTAAAACAAAGTTTGTTTTTTTTTTTCTTACAAAAATTAAAATGAAATATTTTTCCTACGATCATGATCGCTAGTCACTAGTAAATGTTGTTGAATATTATAACATATATCACTAATTAACATTTGAATATCAAATTGCATTGAATGAATAATATTATCATGTGGAATATGTATATTTAATGTAATCATATGTTCACTAGTATGATTATTTCCATTCATTATTGTTGAACTGTTATTTTTAACCATTATTCTATTATTGTTATGCATTTGATGATGATAATGTTGCTGTTCGTTATTTTGAATTGTTTGTTCGCAAACATATTTCTAAAAAAAAAAAAAAAGAAGAAAAAATAATTGATAAACAAAGAAATTGAAACTTATTCACAGAATGTATTTAGAATGAAAAAAGAAAAAACGAACTTCGATTATTATTACATTTACAATTCTGTCAGGAAATCGTTTTTTGATTGTAAATGAATAAGAAAAGAAAAGAGCAAGTCAACGCACAACGCCTTCGACTAACAACAAACAGGAGTATATGTGGCCTCTGTTATGTGGTGTTCAATGGTTCAGAGGAAAAGAAAGAAAAACGAAGAAAAAAAAAACTGTTCTCCTTTCTTTCCGCCTGTCCTGTCCAGTCAACAATGAACTTCTTGTTTTTTTTTCTCTCGTTCTTTTTCTGCTCTCCAGTATACTTAACCAAGTAATGACTATTACAATAGTTGTACTGAGATGACGAGATATAAATGGCACTCATATGCATACACAATGCAACAGGCGTTTAACGCTTGTCTACAACTGTACGTATGATAACGATCCTCTCGTGATGAACAATTGTCATTCCTTTTAGCGAATTGGTTCCCGTTGAAACAATTCTATCCTTGACTTCTATTTCCATTCATTTTTCTTTTTTCTCTCTCTTACTACAAAAGACGAGTAGACAAAAATGATTAATTGATATTCAATAATCAACAACGATATTCAACTAAATAGAAAGAGAAAAAAAATAATAACAACAACAAATGAAAAAAATATTTTAATCTAGAGCAGTCAAACATTGATGTAATATATCGGCTTGTTCATTTTGATCATTATTTAACCATTTTTCATGTATATTTAATCTCATCTGTTCATTGTCAATTAATATATAAGCAATCATTGCTTTATCATTATTAATTTTTTCAAAAGTTTGAAAATGAAATTTTTTCCATATATTTTTTCTTATTAACCAATTATCTTTAATACATTGTAGAATATTTTTATCATTGATATCAATTGAAAAAAATTTTTTTAATAATAAATTCCATGCTTGATAATCATTTTTATTTTTATCATAATCTAAATAATCAAATAATCGATCAATTATTTCAATAGAATTATTTATTTCTTGACAATAAATTAATACATATGGTGATGAACTTGGATCTAAATCAATTAAATTTTTTAAATAATTTATATTTAAATCAAACCAATAATTATATTTATATGCATTTATATATGTTTGATGTTGTTCAATATATAATTGTAATATAGGATGAATTTGTTCAATATTTGTTTCAGTTATATAAAGAAAATAAAGATATTTTAATAGATATATATCATAATTATCAAAATATTGATTTGATAAAAATTGTATTTCATGAAAATTTGTTGTTAATTTAAATGTCCATAATTCTAAATCACGTTCATTATCTAATACAATTTTAATTTTATTTATAAATGGATTAATTGTTGTTGAAATTAATGAATAATCATTTAACCATTGTCTATAATCATATAAAAAATGTAAATTTATCAATAATAATTGTTCAAATTTTGGATCAAATTTTTCAATATATGTTACATGTTTACATCGACCTGAATAAAATGGTGGTGAAAGATTTTTATAACGTGTTTCAATATCATTATATAAATATATTGTTTGTGGATTCATTAAATATAAACAAAGATATGAATAAAATGTTTGTGTACGATTTATTGTTGGTGAATGAAATAATATTTCAAATATATGTGGTAATAAATTTTTATTTATTTGATTATCTGTATGAAAATTTTCTATTAAATAACGAAATATTAATTGCCAATAGAGACGTATATATGAACGACAAAATGATGATTGTAATAGATATTTTAAATAATAAAGTATATTTGTCCATTGATGTTTCATTGAATAATGACGAAGTATTAATAATAACGAACGTATTTGATCATCATGATTTATTGTTATTAATTGTTCAAGACGTGTTAATAATTTTCCATTTGAATACATACGATTTTCTGATATTAAACCAGTATAGATATCAGATTGATATCGACCGGATAGTTTTGTTCGACATGGTATTCGATTTGATGAAGAAAATAAATCAATATCATCCATATCCTCCAATGGACATATTTCCGATGATGATGATGATGATGATGAATGACGTAGACGTTTTGTCATGATATCTATAATATGTTGCCTCTCAAACATACATGCGAATTCATCATTAAATTATCTTTTTCTTCTACATTATGAACACTTTAAGATTTCTGGGGAAATCTTACCTCAATAATGATTTCTCGACGGAGACCCATTCAAATTTATATAAAAAATATAGATACAAATGTGTAAACGGAGAACCAATATGAAATAACAATAATAAGAATAACAAAAGACAAACAAAGAAGTATATTCGCTCAATAGTAAGATGACAAAGAGAAGGACTCATGTAATAATGCTACTGATTGATATTCTTGTTTGTATTACTGAAGACAAATTCATTTTTCTTTCTTTCTCTCTCTCGTTCAAGTCAAGCATCTCTGCATATTTTCTCTTTCTTCATCTGTAAAATAAACTAGACAAAAAGAATTCAACTATCTTTCATCAACAATATGACAGACATATACAACAAAATAAATAAAGAAAACATGATTAGTTCTTTGCATCATAATTTTTATTAATAATCTTAAATGAACCATGATCATGTTGAATAACAACACCTTCACCAAATTTTATATCAACTTGACAAGAATATTTATCAATTAATTGTTGAGTTAATAGTACTTGATTTTCAATAACTGGTACATGAGGTAGATTAAGATGCTCAGCAAGTTTCATAGAATATAATAGACCATCTGTTTTTCGTCTTGTATATCGTCCCTGATTATTATCACTATTAAATAAATAAACAGAAAATATAGCCCATTGTAATGGTTGTGTACAATGTGAATTATTGACTTTTTTTTGTATACCTCCACCATATAATTCACCACGTAAAACTATTGATATCTGATTTTGTTCACAAAACTGTGTTAAACATTCCTTTAAAGAATATTTTGAAACAATATGTGTGAAATTATTTGATTTTGTTAAATCATATTCACAATTTCTTCCACATATACCAAATTGTTTTTTTTTATAAGAATAATAAACTGAACAAGATGTACCATCAGTTTTTTTTGTTACATCAACTAATTCATTCCATGGAAGATTATTTTGAAAATTTTCTATACGTTCTTCATCTGTTTTTGGTATATTAAATGGTAAAGGACCAAGAATACTTGTTGGATCTTGTACAATAGCTGGTTCGAAATGTTGAATACCTAACTGTTCAGCTACGCTATCGCCTTCTTTAAGATTTTTTTCCCTATCAGTTAAAGGAACAATTAAACCTTCGGACCATTCATCACGAATTTTAATAGCTCGAACACGTGGACGTGCATATTTTAAATAGGGTTGTGCCCATGATTGATCATTAGGTAAAACAGAATCAGGTTGTATAAAAATGACTAATTGTTCAGGTAAAAAACTATCACGAGATGTTACACATTGATAACCAAGAATGAAAACAAGATCAAGACGATCAGCATATGGATGATGTCGAACAGAAGTTATCCGTTCAACTGTAGCAATTTTCATTCGAATTGATCGATTTTATTATTAATATTACTAAAGAAATTTGAATGATTACTAAATTAAACCAATAACTCACAAGCACTATCGATATAATTTAGATTTTCATTATTTTCAAATTTAGTGAAATTTCATCTGTATATATTATCTTCTGTTGGAAAATTAAATTTTTTTGCACTAAATTTAGTATAGATGACGTTAGTGTCTTTTCTTCGATTAGATGGCATAAATCTATGATTTCGTCTATCGGCACTGCTCAATCAATATTGACTACGATTCAGTCAAAAATGATGAATACCATAAACAGATCAGCATGACTGGGTTGTTTGTTTGTGACCTACATCTTTATAAATGTTATAATATGCAAAAATAATAATGGATTAAGAAGCATATTTCCTTGCATACACAACAATCTATACTCTATATCATGTTTGTCAAGATATGTTATTATAGTTTAAAGTATGCCATCAGTAGAGTTAGCGATTTCAATGCGATCAAATTTAAATGAAGTTTGAAGATAAAAAGTCAAGTATATTGTTCAAATAATAAATAATATTTAAATATCAACAAAACTGGTATTCTCTTCAGAACTGAAGTTACACTTGACATCTGACAAAGATTGGATCGAAACCCGAGCTTCGTATTTTATATTCTAAAAAATTCAGATAGACTGTATGGATCACCTAGCAACGAATGAACGATATCTATTTTGTTGAAAGTCTTTTTTCTACAGAAACAGACAGTTGAAATTTGAACTTGATTTTAGTTCAAACTGTGCTACTATGCTTCGCTTGCTCAGAACTATACACAACAGACAAAAAAACCAATGATAATTCCTATAATAGATCTGCAAATATGAAAAGACAAATTAACATAAAAATAATAATAACATGGAAATATTTTGTTTATGTTAATATTTATGATGATCAACAATGATTTTTTTTCTTCTTCTTAAATGAATCTACACCATTCATTGAATTACTATAGGTTAATACTTTGTTTTCAGAGATCCAATTGCTTAGATCATATCGATATAATCCATTATTTGAATTTCTCGCCAAGAATTCATCAACATCTAAGAACAATATATATTTTTTGCAAATTTGAGACGCTATTGATAATCTACAATGATCTTATTCATTAATAATATATGTAAAAAGAAATCCTCTTTGAAAAATATTCCATGTAAATTTATACTTTACTTATTACTATATTATTTATTTTTTTTTTTTTCATATAGTTACAATGTTCTGTTATGAAGAACAAGTACGAATTGCTTTTTGTTACCCTAGAAAATATTTTGATTGATTACAATCAATAAGCGTGTCGAATATATACATGTCTACCGTATATACATATATATATGTATATGAAGTAGAAAAAATATGTTGATTTTCAATTACCATGATTCTCTTACTATCTCAAGTCATACGAACTAACTTGATCATATTGCTTATTTGTGGTAAAAGAAAATCTTCTTAGTATGAATACAAAATATTTTTCGGATATTTTTCTAGTTGCAATAACGAATGTTGACTGTCGACCAGGTAGTGGTCGTGGAAAAATAACTCGTGTTCGAGTCTCGTAAGTACTTAAATAAAGTACGATATGAAAAGTCATTGATATTTTTTCTTTTCTTTATTTATGCCTAGAAATTTGATCAAAAACAAATTTCATTCTAATAGTATTAATCGGTAATAAGATTTTTATAGATTTTACTGTTTTATTTTCTCAATACTAAAACATCTCATAGTTCATGAGCATTGATAGTAAAATGTTTTCAATCAAAAATAGACTCAACTATCTTTGATATGATCTCTACCGAGACGTTAAGAATAGGAAGAACGATGGGAGAGAATTTATTTATGCTATTCAGATGAAAAACAGTTAATACTTCTTATTGCCAATTCATATTTTGCACTGATTAAAACTAGTATGGTTTAGCAACAATTCACAGCTTGTAACAATAAATTTGCACGCAAAGAACCGCAACAATAGTTGTTTTTATTTAATTTTGACCTACTTTATCAATACAAAAGAATTTGTAGTGAAGCAGTGATGCTCACAAATGAAAAAAGGAAAAATATCGTGGGTTGGCTCATTTTTATTGAAAATATTTCTTAGGCATACAAGTTTAGTCATTGAAGTAAAAGAAAAACTATCCGTAGCTTATCGTGTATCTAACTCAAGTTTCAAGTACAGTTCTTCTTCTTCACTTCTAACGAAAGAATATTATTTCAATCCGTTGGCCCCATATTTAATCATACAAAATTCAATGTTTCGTCAACAATATTTCCTAAGTATGCTTCACTATGAAAATATTACTATTGCCGATAAAAAATTTTGACGTTAGTACAAAGATTTCGATTCACTTCATAATCCTATCAATTTAATGAAATGAGAAAGACATGTCTGAGTCTATCCTAAGATATTTGAATCTCGAGTAGGTTTCAGTTTTCTCATAGTCCTGTTGCCTATGCACATGGCTCACTTTGTGAAATGATGTTTGTTATTTTTCATATAGAAAATCGCCATTACTACATAAATCAAATACTCATATTTTGGTTCGTGGAGCAACTGGAGGAGGTACAGCTTTACTATTTGGTACATTAGCTTTACGATCATATGTTTTAAACAATCACAAAGGATCTATTAAATCGAGTCATATGCTGATTAGTTTGTCAACTTTATATAAATCTTATTTTTCATATTTTCTTTTTATTCTAGATGGTTCAGGAAGTTTATGTTTAAATAGAGAGAATTTTTCTAATTTTATTTTTAATGAATTTCGTTGTCCATTATTACCTATTTTTGCACTTAATAATCGTTATTGTTGTGGTTCATTTCAACAGCAATATTGTTGTTCCTTCTGGGAAAGGTACTTTTCTCTTTTCTGTGTTTCCTTTGTTCTTGTTTTTTTCTGTGAGAATTTTTGCGAGGATGACCTAGTCTCTGTTCGTCTTTCAGCATTCATTCTTTTTCTTTTTTTATTTCTTTCTTCCGTCATCACATCACTAGTAACAGTTTACGAGCAGTCTGAATATGTGCCTTCCTCAAATACATCAAACATCTAATATGCAGACAAAAATTTCTTTTCTTTCTGCTTGTTTCTCTATTTTTAATGTTTCTTTCTCTTTTTTTTGCGTCAATCAATTGATGCTCACTGGATGCCTATGCTCTTTGTAAATATATATCGATGTAACTTTTAAGTAACTAGATAGAATTTTTAGATTAGAGCGTAGATGCAAATATTTAATGATTAATCTCACATTGATATATATTGAACATTGTTTCATCTTTTTGATAATAATTTTCTGTCATATAAAAGAGAAATTAGTCGTTAATTAAGAAAAACGAACACATGTTCTGTAACAAAACTTTGTTTTATTTTTGAGGGGAAGTTATTTTATATTCTTTTATTTTTTTCTTTCTAGCGGTAGTCGAGCAATTGCTTCTATTATTGGAATTATCGCAGGATGTAGTATTTTCATTTTATTTATTTTTTATTGTATTATTTATATTCGACGCTATTTAAGACCAAAAGGTTAAGATGCATTTTCTTATTCATTGAAGTTATCAATATTATTTCATAATATAGAGTCATCAAGTGTAAAATCCTATATACATTATCATTTTCAAACTCAACTCTATAGTGCTGGTGAGTTAGATAAAGAAAACTAATCAAGAAAGCTTCCAATTAATCATAGCCTTGCGGATTAAATTTATAAGCTGATGACATAGTTTCACAATGAATGAGTTATAAAAAACAAACACAAGGCTTGAATTGATTCTTCATTCTATTTTGTTTCGAATATTAATAGAAAATAAACTATATTATTGCTAGGTCCACACAATGAAACCAATAGGGAATAATCGAAAATTACCAAACGATTAGCTAATTATATTTCTTCAGATTGTATGTAAGATTTTGACTACAAAACAAAACAATATTTTCTTATTTTCTAGTTCTTTCAACATATTCTGAAGTAGTACTATGTTTATAACAAAAAATATTGATATTGCTTGATTTTTTGCCTTTTTTTCTTCGTGTGAAAAATAGTTTGAATAAAAATCTAGATTTGTAGATTTAAATTTTTTTTTATTGAAAAGAAAAAGAGATTATGAAGCATTATTATCTGTCGAGACGATATCATTACTTATTTATTATTTCATGTAAGTTTAAAAGAAAATTAATTTTATTTTCTTCCCATTGATAAGAATTTTTTTTTTCAGTGTTCATGTTATCGTTGATTGAAGGTAAAGGGCTTGTAGGTGGAAGAGGTGGTGGTGGTTTTAAAGTCGGTTCTAAAGGAACAGGAACATTTGGTGGAGCATCAAGTTATAATCGAGCAAATACTTATAGATCTCAAATGGGTCAACCGTAAATAGTTTAATTTTGTGATTTTGGTTTTCTATACTTTATTGTTTTATAGTCGTTCGGGTAGTAGTTTTAAAGGTAAAGCTATTAGTTTTGCTGCTGGAGCTGCTACTGGTATAGCAGCATATTCAATCATGAGATCAATGGCAGGTTCACATCAGTCACGACCTGGTGGTTATTATCCTCCAGGTTATGGAAGTAAGTTGTTGTACTTTTCTTTTTTTTTCTCAAATAATTATTATTTTTTTGTTTATTAGCTGGAGAAACTTGTGTAAATAATGAAAACATGAATGGTACTGTTTTTGGAGAATTTCGTTGTCCATTAAATGGATTTCCACGTGACGCGAAATATTGTTGTGGTGAATATGAACAACAATATTGTTGTGCACCTGATAGAAAAAGGTTCATTTTTGAAAATAAAAAAATCTTTTTCTTTTTTTTAATATTGCTCTATTGTTTTAGTAGTTTTTTTAATAAAGCTTCACATTTCGCATGGATAATCATAGTTATAATAATTTTTATTATTGTTGCGCTACTTTGGATTCGTTGTCGTCGACAGCGACAAAGTATGTTGATTAATGTTTGCTTTATTTTTCGTTTATTTGTTTCTTTTTTGTTGTAGAAGATGCTGAAATGATACCAACAGAGCCACCAATGAATCAAGATTACGAACCACCACCACCTTTTTATCATCCACCACCACATAATCAAAACCAATATGGAGTTCCACCACAAAATCAACAAGGAAATTTTAATCCATATGTACAACAATCTTACATACCGTATCCACCTCAACAACAACCAACTTATCCGTATTAAGCTTACGAAAAGGTAAATAAATGTTTTTTTTGGTATTCATAAATGTACTCAGAACATTAATTGTAACAAAGTCATATATGGATGAATACGAAAAGGTTTTCCCCATACTAATCAGCATCATGAAAATAAATTATCTGAAAAAGACTATGTTTTTTATGTTGAAAAAAGTAGGCCAGATTTTTTTTATCAATTATTGATAAATGTTAAGGAACGAGAGCTAAAAGGTTTTCTTATAAATAGCATGTCATTAAATTTATGTAAAGAAATCAATTAACCTCAAGCAAATCACAATTTGACTTGTAGATGAGGAATATAATCATATGTAGACGGTAACAAACACTTGAGATTTAAAGACCAGATTTCTTATCTAAACTTTAGATGGTGAAGTGTTTATAGACTTAAATTACAACATGACCATGTGAAATTCTTGTCCAAGGTAATTTAAAAAGTACTTCAGAATTTTTGTATTTATATAAGTCATCAAAAAACCTCTTGTTTTACTCGTAAGAAGATAAATATCAAATGCAGAAAAAAAACGCTATTTAATCGGCCGAATATAATTATGATTGCTTTTGTATACTTGATAATTTTCTTGAGAACACAATAAGAATGTTGATAGAAGTAAAAAATACTGACGAGTTTTCAAAACGAATAAAAATTGTTTTTGTAAATATATCAAAACATCAGGCTTTTTTTTAATTTCTAGGTGTTCCATCAGGTTAGAATGATGCTATGTATCAATATAGCAAAAAAATATGATTATCAAACTAGCTCAACAATGTCAATATAGAGAAAATGAAATGAATTTCTGTAAAAATCTCATTCAACTCTTTTATTTTATTTTATTTTTCTATTGTATTGGTATTGTCTATTGTAAACACGCTTTCTGTATTGCTATATGTCAAATTCATATATATATATATATATTTGTTGTTGCATTTATTTTTCTTTAAAAAATATACTATTATGAAAAAACAAACATTCACATAAGAAATCGATTGATGTTAATTTATTGTTACATATCAGAATTTTCTCGAAATGATATTCGTAATACTAATGGCGAAATCAGGTTACACTTCTCTTTATATCATTCACAAATATATTTTAAATTGAAAAAGAAAAAAATTGATCTAGTATGTTGAAGTCTCTATACGATCAGAAAATTATCAGTGTAGCAATGCAACATTTGAAATAACCTATATGTTTGAAAGACGAAACGAATCAATGCTTATCAAAGACCAGTCACCATGTAATGAATGCATTCTATACCATTAAGATTATTCTCTTTCAAGTATGCTTCCTTTTGTCTGTGCAAGTACGTGTAATTCTTTTGTTCCTATTCTATTTCATTCATCCATTAAAATGAGCTGTCTAATGACGAAACCAAATAATATATATATATAAACAAAAATATATCGTATATCTGTATGTTAAATACAGATAGTATGTGTTAGCTTTGAGAAATGTTTGATAATGATACAAATTCTGTTTCAACATTTTTCAGTATGCAAACATATTGCATTCATTTTTTTTAGGTCAAGGTGTGAATGTACCCATATGCTAATATATATATCATGTGTCATATTCAGTGGTCTTTATTCATGTCATAACTCTTTCATTAATAATGCGAGAATTTCACTTAGTGATAAATTGCTTTTAAAATAGCTATTTCTGCATTAAGTAGATCCTAACGACATTAGGGAAACCTTAGATGGATTCATGCTTATGAGTATTTCTTCTTCTGAATTAGAACTATTTCAGTGATATTTTTCTTTCAACAAAATATTGTACTTTTCTCCCGATCCTTTTCAAAATAAATTAGGTACTTTTGAGATCAAGTTGCATAGTTCATGTTCTCAATAGAACTAATTTATTGTGAAAATGTCAGATTTCCTATTATCTTCTTTCCTGAAATATAAATCTATAATAAATAAAGTTTGTTTTTTTTTTCTACATACAAGGACATGCAATGAAAATAGGAAATATTGAGAAAAAGTGATAAATTCTGTATGAATTGATTCTATTGAGAATTTTATTTGTGCAAAATTTGAAATCGAAAATTGATTGGGAAGATGATGGTGTTTTTCGTTTTTGAGCAAGTCTCTACAATAGTTATAATACAAGAAGAAAGACGCATCAGTATAGATCTTTTGAGATTTTTATTAGTCTTAATGAGAAATACCGAATGACATACGATTCATTCAAAAAACAAGATTTATTACTTGCCAAGAGTGCTGTGTAAGAAATGCCGACAGATATTTGTGCTTCTTATATAGCAGGTCATTCACTTCAAGTATTTGATTATTCTGCTCATCAGTTTTATCATACAAGATTTTTTTTTATAGATTATTTAAGAATAATGAAAAGAAAACAATATTAATGTTTTCTTTATCTTATAGATTTTTATCATAAATGACGAGGGTACATGTGGATATCATCTGTTTTTCGAAGTTTAATTTAATTGAGTTCTAAATACAATGAAAGATCTCAAGTTCTTAATAATTTTCATGCTAAAATCAAGGCATTTTGATTTAATCCTTGCTGTGAACATAGTTTATCTTCTTGATATACTAAATACTTCCATTACTTATATTTGTTAGTCTGGAATACTCATGTTCATTCCATTCGTCGTTTTATTAATGTGTTAATAAAACTTTCTTCACACTTACGAGAAAAGGTCCCCAGGTGTTCAAACCGTTTAGACTCCATCTTTTTGCCATAAGTATACCTCAATGGGCTACGAAAGAGCTGAAAAAGATTCATATCTTCACGCCTATGTTTCTGAGACATTGAATTTTCAAGATATGGTATAAGGGAATGAGAATAAAACGATCACTTATTCTTTTTCAGAAAAGTGAAACATTAAAGATTGAAGCTTTTTTTTAGTCTTTTGGGCTCTTTGTTCGATCTGTTTTGATTTGAGTGCTAGATATAATCTTATGTATAACGCTTCTATTCATTATTTATGAGTCCAAAGAGTATACAAAATTTTTAACTTGTTTTTGATATCATTTTAAAATACAATGATTCCTGACAGATGGGCGAGAATGATACATTATCTGCACGGTTGCTTGTCACTCTCGTTGTCTGCATATCATCTTGTTCCTTTAATGAATTTTATGCACTTACACTCTCTCTTCCATGTTCTACTAGATATGCAGCGCTTTTCATCTGCTGTAGCTGGTGCCGCAAACTACTGTGTTTTACTCATTTTTTTTCTTGAACTATCGGTTTCACTAAGTTTCGGTAGACAGATCGCTGTGTTTTAAAATAATATTAAAAAACAAAATAAAAATTTTGTGTATACTTTGAATTCATGAACAATGAATAGAATCGTTATAGATAAGATTATATCTAGCTCTCAAATCAAAACAGATCGGACAAAGAGCCCAAAAGACTGAAAAAAAAAGCTTCAGTCTTTAATGTTCCACGTTTCTTAAAAGGAGTCATTGATCGTTTTATTCGCATACTCTTATACCATATCTTGAAAATTCAATATCTCAGAAACAAAGGCGTGAGAAAATGAATCTTTTTCAGCTCTTTCATACTGCATTGAGGTCTACTTAAGGCGAAAAGATGGAGTCTAAACGGCTTGAACACCTGAAAACCTTCCCTCATTAGTTCATTTTCTGATCGATAGAACTTTTCAAGGACTATGAAACGAACTAAATTATATAGTCATAAAAAGTAGGTCATATAACAAAGTCCTTAGTTCATTATTCGTTGGGTGTGATTTTCAGTTTTTTCGACTGATATTTAGCGATTAGCAAGCACAATAATAACCATTTCGTTTCAAATAAATATCATGTATAGAATTCGCACAAAAAGTTAGTCAACTTTTGTATGTGTCAATCTTTTTCCGCAACTTATTTTTTTTTTGATCAGATTTGCACTCCTGGACTCTCCAGGGCGAGATAGAAAATTGAATTTAATCAACACAACTATTGTATTGTTTAGTCATCTGTCTTGTACTTAAATTATATTTTACAAATCTAGAACTGGCTTTCTACCGTTTCAATGATTTTTTGATTAAGTTCATTTTTACATATACCTCTGAGTAGGTGCAGAAGTGAAAATTTGATCAGAAAAAGATTGAAACATATGTAAGTCGAGTTACTTTTTTCTGCTGATTTCAATTATGATACTTATCTTGAAAACCGTCAAATATCAGTCGAAAGAAATAGTTAAATATTGAGCCTCACAAATATTGATAATTCATCATACTGTTATAAACACGTTTGTTTCAAATTTCTGTATTTGAGAGATGTTTGTTACGTTTTCTTTTTATATATTGTATATGTTCATTTATATTGCTTTTCTTTCTAAGAGTTTATAATAAATGTGAGTATTTTCAAGATATATTTTGTGCGTCATACTCACTTGTGCTATATATAAAAAAAAAACCTATAAAATATTCTTCCATTCATAGAACTAGGTAGTTTTTCAAAAGAATGAAAAGCTAAGTCTTTGTTTTGAAATAATGAGACTAGGCTGAGATCTTCGAAAGATACTAAGAATACCGATTATTCTACTGCACTATGTTACAATACGTTTTGAATACCAAATCAATTATATGTCGGATAAGCATGAAATGAAAAAATAGTAGTTTTATAAAAAAAACCAACAACACTAACAAATAGATAATGATTACAATGCAGATGAACAAATAAATAAATATGATTATAACAAACGAGAGTCAATTTATAGCAACAACGCAATCGAATTTATTTTTTTTTTGATTTATCCTTTCGTATCTATTTGTTGAGAAATACAGAACGAGTTTTATCAATTAATCCATACGTTTGAAATAATAGGATTAAGCCATTGAATGTCTACATAAATATAATTACATACCATTTGGAGAAGTATATGAGTTAAAGATGTGAATATGGAGCCAAAGAACATTCTGACATAAACTCCCACATCCTACTTTTGAATTGTTATGAGAGTAATCAAAATTGATCAAGTATGTTTTATTTGTTTTTTTTCTCATTTGATGG